GTTTAAGGAAAAGATGACATCCCAGATCCAATATTCCATTACGCTACCCAGAACTGGATTATGATAAATTATGATGACAGAGCTCAGGCACATGCTAATGCCACCTTTTCTCCAGTCTCACCTGAACAAATGGATGACATCAAGTCTCCAAAACCGATTCCCTGTCACTGATGGTTGACAATAAAAGGCCAATGTTCAAGTGAGTTTTTAAAACAGTCTCCATGGAGATTAAATTTCATAATTCTTTTCTTACTGCTGTGGAATCACTGAAGGCTCATGTAGTTTTTTTTTTTTTTTTTGCTGATGGGTCTCTTTCTATAAATCTGTTAGAGAAAGAATCTGCAAGGTCAGAGAACATGTGTGCGGTATGGCTGAGGGGTAGGCAGTGGAGCTATGTTCACTCTTTCCCCCAGCACACACTGCATGTTATGGCTGCTTTAAAGCTGATCATCACCTAAATGTCTCTGTGAAGCTCATCGTGAAATATCTCTAAGGTCTCGGCACCATTTACACTGTTGGTTCTTTGCTAATATATAATTTGCACGAGAGATTATAAAAGGCCAAGCAACAGCAATTATAAGAACAACAAAGAGGAGAAGAATAAAATAATAATGATTATGCCAAAGAAAGAAATTAAAATTGGGAAACAGCATGATCACTTATAAATTCTCTAGAATAGGAACCTTCTGAGATCCACTCCTAATCACACTGAGAATATGACCTCTGATACACAGAGGGAATTTTATTGAACGTGTGTGTGTGTGTGTGTGTGTGTGTGTGTGTGTGACACAGACCAGAAGTCTTAGTCCTCTGCAGAAACCCTTTTAAATGCCAAATTAATGTTATGAATATTCAGCTTCTATCTATCAGACTCAACATTTTTATCATATTAATTCTCAGAATTACAAATGAATACTGCATAAGATGTCAACACTTTATACAGTTAGTAATTAATCTACCCAGGAGAAAAATAAGCAGTTGTAAAACAGAACCAAGACCAGAAGGAAGACATATTCACCACCAATTTGGAAATGTGTTCCAGTGAGAAGAAGAGGACAGAAGTCTAGTCTGTAACAACATTTCCCTTCGTCAGACCCTGGGCTTCCGGCTAGGATTCCCCACAGCTTTAGGACAATGTAAAAGACATGCCTTGTTAACTCCTGGACGTCTCATTTCTTGGTCATAAATCCTATTAACTTGTATTACAAACTGCCATAAAACTTGGAGATAAAAGATAATTTATGCTCCGTGTACAGAAGCTAATACTTCTGTCCTCTTGAGAAAGCACAGGACCAGAAAATGAGAAAGTGTGTATGTGAGACTCAGAGCCTTCGGAGGTCTGCAGGGGCAGCACGAGCAACAAGGCTCAGCGCAGCGACTCTTCAGCACAAACAGCCTGGCCACGGCTGTCAGCCATGCTTTATGTCAGAAGTGCCTCTCACCTGTTGCATAATGGCTCCTTCTCAGAAGTGGTGATGGTATCTTAGTACAAGTACAAGAAAGCAGTCTTGAAAGCAGAACAGGGATGTTGACTGTTAAGGAAGAGCCAGGATGCAGCTTCTTTTTAATTTCCCATTGTAAACTGGTGAGTTGGTTATTTTCTTTAAAACAAATGCTGTCTATGAACGTTTTCCCTCATAATGACATTTGGATCTACAGGAATGGAAATATGCTGAAACGTAGAAAAGCCTATATATATATCTATATATGTGTGTGTGTATATATGTTTTTAAAATTTCAACTCTATTCTTAAATAACGGAAATGCACTATGCTGAAATATAGTATAAACATGAAACAGTATAGAGCATAAAAATGGAAATATGCTGAAATATAGTATAAAACCTATATATATATATATGTATATGTGTTTTTATAATTTGAGCCATATGACTTCCAGTGAAATTGTTACCAGAAATACAGCTTAGACCAAAAAGACTAAAATAACTAATCAATGCATGATGATTACTTATTTATACAAGCTAGTCACAGAAGAGTCTTGCACGTAGATTCTGAGAAACAAACACTGGCCATCATAGAAAACTCTAAGATGATGAAAGGGTATGGAGAGTTGGCAAAAAGATCAGGAGAGTATAGCTTATATCCAACATCTAGGACTGTCCTGATCAACTAGCATCAGTATTACAAACATACAACTAGAGCTCTTATAAGTTACAAATTAAAAATTTATACAACAGTTCCCATAAGATGGCTTGTTCCTTCTGTTTATATCTTACTTTCAGACAATCAGTGATTATAAAGAAAATTGTAAAAGACATTCTTTACAAACCTAACACTCAGGATAATCATAATTTTTTGAGATGAACAATAGCAAAGCTTCATGGTGATCTTATTTAATCAGCTTATATTATAGAAATTATTACACTTTTAAATTTTGTTGTAATTCAGGAGAACTCCGAATCGTTTTTTAAATTGGGAGAAGGGATAGATGAGTGAAGAGAAGAATGGTGGGTGAATACCATCATAATATTCAATGTACTTGTATGAAAGTAGAATTAGGTCACTTGAAGGGAAGGTGAAGATGGGCTAGAAGGGGGAGAATGATGGGAGAAATGACATTGATCAAGATGATTTAAACTCACAAATTGACATGTAAAACAGAAACTCCTTTGTACTTAAAGATAATAAAAATAAATTAAGACTGAAACTATAGTAGCATAGTACATCCAAGATTCATGTTCTTTGAAAATGTTTTTGAGAGTAGAACTATATATGTATAACACACACAGACACACACAGACACACACAGACACACAGACACACACACACACACACCAACTCGCCATGACGTTACACATTGGTCATGGATAATTACTGGCCTATGGGCTGTGACTTGTTTTAAGAGCTTGTCATTTGTAATTTAGCCCATTAACCCCATGATGGAGAAGACGTACTGTAATAGAAAAAGAGTTGAGTCAAACTCCATGACAGTGTAACTATTGTATAGTATCTGCTATGCTTTTTACACATCATTGTTATAAAGCTGAAGTAACATCTTTCTGGTAGATGTACATGTATCTTTTGACTCAGCAGTGAGATGTGAATATTAATTTAGAAAAACATTCAAAAAATTTAAGTCATTATTTGTTGAAGCATGCCTGACTTTTTCTTGAGGCTACTCCACAGTATTTTAAACTGGCTTCATTTTGAATCAATTAAGCTTCTAATCCCAAGCAACAATAACCCTCCGTGTCTTCTGCATTATCCATGCCGGGTATCCTCCTTCACTCTAGTGCTCACAGAACATATAATATGTTATATAAAGTTATATCGAAAAAATACAAAACCCCAAACAGTATGCCCTTTAATGGCTTATATTCTATTTCTAGGATGCAGAATCACTTCTGTGAAATAATATTAGTATGGTTTTAAAGCCATTTTAGAATTAGCTTTATTTCAAATTATACAAGTAACAGTGCTTAGGTTCATCATATGTTATATGAAACCCATTCATACTGTAATCCTCTAAATACAATTAATCTGGCTTTTATACATGCATTACTGTCTTTCTTATCCCACTAAAAGTGGGATTATTTTTAAAAAGGGGTAGAGCTAGTGTCTCTCCAGAAAGAAGACCTCTATAGAACATCACAGCAAAGAGGCAAAGGCTATATATATAGTGTCAGCCTGATGGCAAGAGGTGGTGAGAGGTAAGATAAGAGGTAAGAGGGTGTGATCTTACGTGAACTTCTGCCCCACACTATCTTCTCAAATACCTCGCCAAGTGATTTTTTTAATGCTTTTAACTTATCTTTGAGTAGCTGAACAAAGGGGTCTCAAGTCAATCTGTCAGTGTATGCGTATAATGCATCTTGATCAATGTCATCCCTCCCATCATTCTCTATTTTTCTTAACCCTATCCATTCCTCAAGTGAACCTGGCTCTATTTTTCACATATATACATGGATACTGTTTTACTGTATTTGCCCACCCTTCCTCTCTCCATGTGTCTGCTCCCCTAGCCTTAATCTCAGTCTCTATCTCAGGAAACATGTTTCAGCTTCCTGGTATTCATTTTATTAAACTGTACATTAATTGCTTAAAGAAGCTGTACCACTGGAATCCTCCCCTGAACATACCATACTTTAGAGAATTTGTTAATAAGTGCATATGGCTGTGTATATGTTTTCTTATATTTATAATTAGGAATAGCTTCTACATATAAGAGAAAATGTGTCATTTATTTCTCTGAGCCTGATTCACTTCACATAATTTTTCCCAAGTCTATTCATTTCCTTCCAAATAACAAAATATTATTTTTTCCTGATGGATAAATGAAATTCCATGTATAGATGCCCTACAATGGATAAGCAGATCAAGAAAATATGAGTTAAATACATATGTATTTTAAATGTTATATACACATGTATACAACATACACATTTTTTATATACACAAGGTAATTTTGAAAAAACTGAACTCAAGTCTATAAAATTCATTTCTTCAGTAAGAATTCTATTCAGTACACTAGTACAAAATTCTCTTTGGTGTCTGTCATTGCAAGTGGGTGGTACTGTCATTAAAGTTTTCTTGAGGGATGACAATTAATAATCAGGCAAGCTATAAAGAGCAAAAGCTAAAGATTTCCTTTTAAGTGCTAAACAAAATCCAATCCAGTTTCCAATTATAATGATAGCACTTAAACACATGAGAATCCTATTTGAAATATTTGCCAAGCCTTGTGTGTCCCTGTTGAGGTTTGTTTCAAGTGTCATTCATATTCAGCTGCTCAAGATTCCAAAGTGCTAACTTCTATTCTTAGTCACTTAAAAGTTATGCAGGTTTTCTTTCTTTTCTAGATGCAATAACATGAAAACTTTTCACTTTACTTGGAGCAGTGGACTTAATAGGCCACAGGCAAGAAAATCAGATCTACAGTACTTGCAGGTGACAGGCACAGGCAAAGTCAATGTTTCTGAGTATACTCAAAAGCTAAACGTTTTGCAGAAGTAACGCGCTGGTTATATTTGCTTGTACTTACTGGCTGGAGAAGGTAGATGAGAGATGCCTCTTGGATTATTACTGTTGGCAAAGGAGTGATGTGAATGGCTTGGAACAAGGTATTCACAGACGCCATGATCTGGTCAAAACGCCCAGCTAGGCCGCCAAGGGTGACAATCACATCAACCTGAGGAAGGCAGGAAGAACTGGGAGTCACACATTTAAATATTTAAAAATAATGAAACAGCATCAAACAGCTACCACAGCATTCAATACCCTATTTTACTTGATAAGCCATCATGAAAGTGAACATTATTTCTGTTGTTCAAAGGAAGAAAGTAGGTTTCTTGTTCAGGGTCATAAGACTGGAAAGTGAGAAGAGGGATGTGTGAAGTCCCACTACTTTTGAGAACACATTGAAAGTCGTTCCCGTCTTTCCCTGCAGCAATACATTTGTGCATCCTTTACAGCAGATATCTCTGTAATTTATAACATATTGGTTGGTGGTTTAAAGCTGGTGTATTGATCACAAAACAGGGAGGATAGAAGAGCTTAATTAAAATATTTAAGAAAACTGACAGCCATAATCATTCTATCATATGATAGAAATTCTTTAAAATAGGGAGGCTCTTTTAGGTTTCAAAATATTACATTAAAAACTTTTAAAACATATAGTACATAAAAATGACAGGATCTTAGAAATATAATATTTTACACAAGCATCAATAGAATTTGATGTTTCAATTTCTGGAGAAATAATAAGTGGTGTCAGCCCTGAAGTCCAAAGGCAATGTTTTGTTTATTTATTTGGTTGGGCGGTTTTAACTCTGGAATTCTGTGTGGGACAAATAAATACATAAAGATACTGAAAATAAAAAAAAGACTCATTAGGAAAGGACCAAATAGATGAATTGTCATAGTGTGGGATTACAGAAATCATAACAGGATTCCATTTAAAGCACCAAATATATAGAAGAACCAGGAGATATCTTGAGTTTCTTATTCTGACTTTATCAATGTGTAGAGAGAATGAGAATTCTAATTTTAGATAAGATTCTTCTTGTAAAAAGAGTATTTAAAGACAGGCAAACCACACATCTATGGAACGGGAGACTATCTTCGGATAGACTCTTAGTAACTCTAAGAATTGGATGATGGCCCAAGGAAGACAATTCATTCTAGGAAGCACGTAGTATTCTGAGTACATTGGCAAAATCATGGTGTCTATTCACCTTCAAAGGATACAGGGAATGTATATATAATTGGATTTGTCAAAGCACAACTTCTGTTTGAGGTATCAAGTTAGATAAATGTATTCTATTTAGGTCTTACAGAGAACCTACTCCAATCCAGCTGGGTAAATCTGAGGGACACTACATATCTTCAGGAAACTAGGCAAATTGACTTTATACTAAAGAGAAATAAATCAGAACAAGTTGCATATAAAATGTAGAGACAGGTTTAAAGCTCTATTGAAAAGCATACTGGCATATTTCTATTCACAGAGTCCTAAATTAACAGCAGAAAAAAAAACTTGATATAAGTTTATTCACTATGCAGATTCTGGAACCCCTTTTACAGGTCTTCAATTTTTCATTACAATACTCTAGGCCTTGAGGGAGCCCATAACCTTTAAGGCTGAAATTTAATTCCCATCGTCTACAATGGGATATCATGAAGAATACACAATATCTGTAAATCAGTCACTGAATTTTTCAGAAGAAAGAAGCAGCAAGATTACTTCTCATCACTACTCATTTTCCCTACAGGACATATTTAGCAAGATTGATTAACCACATTAGCAGATCAATGGCAGCTGTAGGGAGGGCTGGGGAGAGCAGCTCACTAGTTCTAGCTGTGAGTGGGGTGTAACAGTCACAGAGAGGGAAGAAAGGGGACAGATCCCATCCCTGCCTATTTTCATAGTCTTTTACAGGGCTAAATTTACATTTGAGACAATGATGCCACTGAGACAGGGTGTTCTTGCTAAAAGAGACTGTATGAAGACTGCAGGAAGGATGCCTTTTCTATGTGAAACCAAAGCCCTGTGCATTTATTTATAAGGTCACTCTGTCATGCACTATTTTTCCTTAATAACCATTGATATTCTTGTGCATCGCCTTTCAGAGGCCCATGAATCACAGATACTAGTAGCTTTCCTAACCGAGTGGACCACAGGCATTGACTGAGTTTCCAATAAGGATGTAAACATTTGGAAGAAAACTCAAGATAAATACACCAAGAGGCAAGAACATAATTATGAGGCTGAGGTTAAGATCATCTAATTTCTACAAATGACTACTGTCTCTATTTGGCAAAGGTTCTAATAGCTTAATAGCTCTTGAATAGTTTAACATGTCAAATTTATTACCTCAGATATATGTCTGATAAATTTGTTAGTTTCATTTATAAGCTAATGACAAATGTGAAAAACACATATTTACCGCCATGTGTGCAGAATATCCTACATTTGAAAAACAGATCAATCAACACAAAAGTCTGTTCCTTTGTGTGGCTGACATTGAAGTGTAGGAAAAATATACCTCACAAAATGGTTTTTAGTTTATTAGCTAGAAATTGGAAAAAGTAATATATATATATATATATATATATATATATATATATATATATATATAAAATAACAGAGAAAGGGAGCTCAATAATGGTGGCTGGGAATGTGTCCCACCTTTCACAAGCCAGCAAGAGTAGGAAACATTGAAATTGGAAAAGATTCGCAATAAAGACCTCAAAACAGGTAGAGTTCACCATACATGGCATCCTGAGGCAGGGGGAATGAATGTATAAGGGTGCTTCACAGAAGAAATGGTAGCAAGGCCTCTAAGACATGGCTCCTGATATTTTCTAAGAGCCTCAGAAGGTTCATTGCTAGAACTGAATGAAGAAACTCGGAGATAAATGAGTAAGATATGAATATCTGATTTGTCCCAATGCCTCTGGAATTCCAACTGTTGACTTAACATGTGGGGGTGGGAATCTAGCAGTCATCTCAAATTCCAGTGATCTTCCCTAGTCATGTCCCCCACACCAGCTGCAACAGCCCCAAGCCCATGCTGGACACTCCCCTCTTCCTCTCACATCTTTATTTACTCTCCCCTCAAAAAGTTCTATCAGCTCAACTCTTAGTTTCTGAGCAGAATGTCTCTGCTTTTCACAGCCGTGACCAAGCCTTTAAAATCTGACAGGACATCTCGCTCGAGTCACAACTGCCTCCAGGGTTCTTTCTGATCTACCATTATTTACTCATAGACTGTTCTAAATACAGGAACGAAAATAATCAGCTAAAATGAAATTCTGTTCAATGTCCCCCAAGTTTTCCCATGGATTTTATTAGGATCTACAAATCTTTGGGATTTGATAATCGGTTACCCCGCTCTGGCTTCACCTTCTATTTTTTTTCCCTCCTTCATTGGGTTCCACCCATAGTTCCTTCATCTCTTCTATTTCTTGACTATATCTACCACTCCTAATTCAAGGACTTCATTCTCTCTGTTCTTTAAATAGGAACGTATTATCCTCAGATATTCACTTGACTAGTTTCTTCCTTCACTGGCTTACTTAAGAAAATATCCCTTCCTCCATCCCAATAGTTCATACTGCCATTTCTAGTTTTAAATTTTCTCTCTAATATTACTCATAATCTAATAGCATGTTAAATATTTTACCTGTTTAACCATTCTATCAGGTTTGAGGTTATATTTTATTGTGGTTTTAAATTTTTTATTTCCTGATGATTAAAAATGCTAGAATATTTTCAATAATATATTGGTGAGTCTGGGCATAGTTGAACATTCTGTAAATCTAACTACATAGAAGGCAGAGATTCAGAGGGTCTCAATTCAAGGACAGATTAGGCCAAAAATATGATACTCTATCTAAAAAAAATTGCTGGAGATGTGGCTCAAGTGGTAGAGTACCTGTCTAGCAAGCACAAAGCACTATTCAAAAAGAAATGTAATCATTACCTTATGTAACTGTAACCCTTCTGCATATCACCTTTACAATAAAATAAAATTTTAAAAAAGACAAAGAAATTGAGTTAAATGCCCATATTTATGACACCAGATTATTTAGGTTTAGGAAATGCAAAAAATAAAAAAGTTCTAATTGATTATTCACATATGTCTTCTACTCAAGTCAAGGTATTTTAAACAGTCCTTTCATATTAACAAGGAGAGGGTTGGAATAGGAGTTGCCTTTGGCTTTTCATAGCTATCACATTTAGTAAAAAAGATCTCACAGTCTCAGATGAATACGTGGGAGGTCTGAAGAACATACTCCTATACTAGTGACTTAGGGAAAGAAGTGGACTAAACTCAGGAATATTCCAGGATTCCCTTTTTTCTGTTGTTGCTGTTCCTCATGTGGTCCTTGGTTTTCCAACATTAACAATCCAATAATAACTGTACATTTTATTTAGAAAAGTAAAGAGAAACTTGTATTTGTATTATCTGTCCTACCAGTGCCATGACAGCCAAGTTAGAAACTGTAATACTAGAAGAAGAAGCAATTTCATTTCTCCATTAGAGTAGTATAAACCTTACAGGAGCCACATGACAGGTTTTTCTCCATTTGACCTCAAAAAGACTGAGATACGGCAGGTGTGCAGGAAGGACAGTGGCTGTCAGCAGACTTTAATTACATTTACTTGTTATAAATTGAATTCTGGGGATGCATAAATGGACAATTTCCTTGTGGCTCTCCCTGAAAGATAAGGTGATCATATAATTTAACGTACAAAGTAAGACACTGTGAAGTAAAATGGGACATTATAAATAATTTCTCCAAGAATAGTGGCATAAATCAGTACTATGCCATTTTAACCCAGATATATGTTCCCTCCTGTTGGAAAGTTATAACTAATATTAGCATAGCCCACTCACCTCAATTAAACACTGGGGTCTACAAACATTTAGACACCATTCTTAACAACCTTCTTTTAATTTTTTTTTTGTATGCTAGTCCTGGGGCTTGAACTCAGGGCTTGGGCACTGTCCCTGAGCTTCTTTTTGTTCAAGGCTAGTATTCTACTACTTGAGTCAGAATGCTTCTGGCTTTTTCTGAGTAGTTTATTGGAGGTAAGAGTCTCATGGACTTTAATGCCTGGACTGGCTTCAAACAATGATCCTCAGATCTCAGCTTCCTGGGTAGATAGGATTACAGGCAGGA